AATAGTGGTGGAGGAGCTTCTTCATGTCCAGCATGTTACATCTCTACCTGAGGACTGTCACTGCCACTGCCTCTGTGTAAATTAGCCCCAAGGGAGGTGTATCCTATACCTTTTAGCTCCCGACATTGTTGTTCCAGTGCCGGCGTTACGTGACAGTTAGTGGTGGTATGGGCTAGGATGCCTTGTGAGTATACAGTGTCCAATATCATGGCTTGTAACATTGTCACTAGGTTGTCCGCAATGCATAGTGCAAAGCAGTAAGTAGGATGGGAAAACTGGGATAAACTACCTTTGTTTTATTAGTTTGCTTGTGCAATCTTCTGGACTCTGTCGGGTCTACCCAAAGACCGGGTATGGTGCAGAAGTGTAAATTAACACAGTGGGAGAGACGCCTGTGCAGCTAAGTGAGTTTGTTGGGCAGTTACTTTATTATAGGCAGTTGGAGATCTGGATGACGCGGATAGTCTCTCCAGGGCATGTGTTCAACGTCTCTTGGACAGTAACTGCCATCGCTAGCGTTGCATGAGGCTGGAGGTTGTGTTCCATTACTTGCACATCAGGTAAGTCCAGAACATGAAGAAATGATTGGGAATCCAGTTTTGTTGAGATAGTGAATGTTGCGCCTTGTCTTGTGACAATGAGACCGAAAGCGTTATCAGATGTTTCAAGCACTTAGCAGATCAGTAATTGGTCTGAGGATTCTTCGTGCCTGGAGAGTCAGCCTGGATAGATCTGGCAAAATATGGAGTGGAGCATGGTGAAAAAGCAATGGTTGGTTGGTGAGCCTCTTTGGAGCAGTTCCTCCTTATGAGAGAAATAGTGTAGTCAGCATATCACATCCCATGGCGTACCCAAACAAGACCAAGAGGACTTACACCTCTGTGACAAACTGCCATTTGCCACTGGCTTTCTATGTGCAAAACTGCTCTGCTCCCCTGGCTTATGGAGAAGCCTGCTTGCCTGCCCCTTGCCACATAACTATGGCCCTGGGGTGTATGGCCCTTTAAAACCATTACTTGGTCTCATGAACTTTTATTTGGACTAGTGCTGGTGCTTTAACCCCTTAACGCCGTTACGGCTTTCTATGCGGTCGCGGCTTTAAAGGGCTTTAAAGCCATTGCGGCGGCATAGAACGCCGTAACGGCTTAAGCCCCCAAGAGATCAGAGGTACTTACCTCCGCCATGATCCTCTTCTGGAGGGCTGCCTGACAGCCCAGGCAGCCCTCCTCCGGCAAGTGAGGCCCCTGGGGGCCATGTGATCGCTCTCAAAGAGCGATCACATGGCCCCCTATAGCTGGCTGTGGATCTGCCACCAGGGGGACTGTCTGAAATATCAGACAGTCCCCCTGCTGGTGGGAAAGTAAAAATAAAAATATTAAACATGTTAGAAAATTAATTAAAAGTATTTTTATATATATATATGTAACATCATAAATAGTGTATTTTAATACCAATATTAGTATATATATATTAATATTAAAATACACTTAGAATGACGTTACATATAATATGTATATATATTATATAATAAATAAAATAATAAAATAAATAAAATATTGAAACAAAATTTAATATAAATTATATATTCATATGTAATTTTATTCTAACTGTATTTTGTTTTTAATATATATATATATATATATATATATATATATATATATTGGTAACAAAATAAACTTAGAATGACATTCTATATATCTATCTATATATAAAATACAAATAACCGCAAATATATATATAGATAAATACATATAATTACATAAAAGATTACATTAGTATGCACGTAGAATTTAAATACCTATAAATGCATATATATTAAAATTCTACGTGTATATTTAAAGTAATCTTTTAACATAATTATGTGATTTGATTAATTAAAAATTGATTGACATACCTGACAACACAGAGAGAAAGTGCAGAGAATTTAATTTGCAAGCACTATATTTGACCCTGTAACTCTCCAAGACACCATAAAACATGTACATAGGGGGTTCTGTTTTACTTGGGAGATTTCGCTGAACTCAAATATTAATGTTTAAAACTGGTAAATTGTATTACAACGATTATATTTTAAGTAAAAGTGAAGTTTTTTTGCATTTTTTACAAACTAACGGAACTTTTATGGACTATATTATTGTTGTAATATGTTTTACTGTTTTAAAACACTAATATTTGTGTTTAGTGAAGTCTCCCGAGAATAACAGTACCCCCCATGTACAGGTTTTATGGTGTTTTGTAAAGTTAGAGAGTCACATATAAGGCTTGCAATTCATTTTTTTTACATTGAAATTTGCCTGATTGGTTATGTTGCCTTTGAGAGCAAGAATAAGAATTACCCCCATGATGGCATACCATTTGCAAAAGGAGACAACCCAAGGTATTGCAAATAGGGATGTCCAGTCATTTTTAGTAGCCACTTAGTCACAAACACTGGCCAAATATTAGTTTTTTTGCTTTTTTCACACAAAAACAAATATGAACACTAACTTTGGCCAGTGTTTGTGACTAACTGGCTACTAAAAAAGACTAAACATACCCCACGTTTAATACCTTGGGTTGTCTACTTTTTCAAATGGTATGCCATTATAGGGGTAGTTCTCATTCCTGGGCTACCACACCGTCTCAAAGGCAACATAATCTCATTGGATTCTCATTGTAAAAAGTGGGTGTGCTTATCCATGTGACTTTATTTTATTGGTTGTTAAATTTAAAGTTCCAGTGCCCCACAAGGTCTACGTGGGTGGTAACCTTGCTAGGAAAGTTGTATATAAGCAGGAATAAACGCTCATTGGAGTCAGTTCTTCTTCATCCTCAGTATAGTGTCCTGTCTCTTATTGAGGGTAACCAGCTCCCTCTGCTCTGCATGCTCCCTTGGATAATCACTTGTAAGCTCTTTTAAGAGCTTATTCCTGTTTTCCTCAATTGGAGGAAAGGTTCACCTACTGGAGCCTTGTCGTAGGCCCAGGGTCGGAAGGAGACGGACGAGACCCCAACAAAAACTACGGTGGCTCATGGAGTCTGTGGTGGTTGTGGTGTCTGGCGGAGCACTTTGAGCCCTCTGGAAGCGCTAGGAGCATCCAGTAATGGAGGTACCCAGTCCGGGTGCCAGGCTGTCTGTCATAACCTCATTCTCCGGAGACGACAATAACCTGAGCAGAGGAATCATGAATAATTTGCAGATTTTTGTTCATGTTTAAGTCATTTGTTGTGTAATAATAGGCAACACAAATACCATACCATTGTGCAAGTATTTTTTTAAGAATGAGACTCTCTTGCTCTCCTTGGATATTATCAAGTAATGGACATTGTCATTCTGAACAGTCCGGAAAAATTTTGGATAAGTTTGTCGATCACTTAACAAGGGGTTTGTTGCTCCATAACTAAT